CACTGCCACCGCCAGTTTTAAATCCACCGCTCTGAGCACAGCAATAAAGTGATTAGCATGGGCAGTGCTTCTTACATACTTTAGCTGATGGGTTAGTTTATTATTTGCTTATGCACTTCAAAGTGTCTTCTATAATCACTGTACTGTGCTCAACTGTTTCATAGGACATAAAATCTAATTTTTATAATTTGATTTCATCGTAAAGGTTTATGGTTATCTCCTTGTTTTGATAAAATGTTGGTTACATCTATGATTTATTGGGTGTTAAAAGCCATTCCTAATGGAAAGATAGTTCCACTAATAAAATGGGATTTCTTTTTTGGTTTCCTGAAATATATATGCTATAAAAAGGGAATGCTGCCCGTATCTGTATTCCCAAGTAAAATTAGTAGAAAAGATTTGAATGGACCATGTGGTGGGCAATTAGGCAGTTCACCACATGTGCGAGTGCAGCTTCCTTTAGTCTTTGAAGACTGGATTTACCTCGTATTTTAAGGTTTTTCTTAATTTTCTGTAGGCTGACTCATACCTCGTGGCAGTTAGCTTCTCGTGGATTTAGTTGATGTTTCTGGAGGGTTGTTTGTGAGGGACTGTTCACATAGGTGGTGGGGGTGGCACAGTCAGGAAGGTTCTCAGGGACCAGGAGGTCACTGTGCTCCTCTTGTCGCCTCCTCGCTGTCCTTGTGAGAGCCGGAGAAGTGGACGTAGAGCTGAGTGAAAACTAGTTCATTTGGAAGGATTTTAGCTCAGATCTTTTTTTATTTTATTTTATTTTTATTTTTATTTTTTTTTACAGGCAGAGTGGATAGCGGCCGGTGCACCACGCTGATCCGAAGGCAGGAGCCAGGTGCTTCTCCTGGTCTCCCATGGGGTGCAGGGCTTAAGGACTTGGGCCATCCTCCACTGCCTTCCCAGGCCACAGCAGAGAGCTGGCCTGGAAGAGGGGCAACCGGGACAGAATCCGGCGCCCCGACCGGGACTAGAACCCGGTGTGCTGGCGCCGCTAGGTGGAGGATTAGCCTAGTGAGCCGCGGCGCCGGCCTCAGATCTTTTGTATAGGAATATAAGTATAATTTATAAACATCCATTGAATAATAGTATAAATATTGTATAATTCATAACATTATAAAAATACAATGTTAAATATTAAATGATCATATATAATATAAGTGTTATTCAGTAGATGTTCAAATAATGTCATAGCTCAGTTTCCAATGCAAACATGAATATTGTATAAAATATTTATTCACTGTATTTGTCTACCCAGGTGTATTTTCTTTAAAGATTTTATTTATTTGTTTATTTGAGAGTAGAGTTACAGACAGTGAGAGGGAGAGACACAGAGAAAGGTCTTCCAATCTGCTGGTTCACTCCCCAGATGGCCGCAATGGCCAGCGCTGAGCCGGTCTGAAGCCAGGAGCCAGGAGCTTGTGCCTAGCTGTGGGGTGGAATCAGGCGTTCCCTCCGTGGAGCACACTCACACCAGATGCCCGAGTCGCGCTAATGACCTTCACAGCGCTACAGAAGCACGCATCGATTCCTCGTTACTTCCGGTTATGGCTCCGGGAGGCCCCCTCCCTGGGGCAGGGCTGGTGCGGGCTGCAGGTTTCCATCGGAACATCCAGGACAGCATCACCCGCTGCCTGCTGTGCTTTGGGATTTGAAGATAGTTGGTACTGTCTTTCCTAATCTCCATGTGTTTCAAATGTTTATAGTTTAGTTTTTCTTCGACTGTAAGTTTTGCTTCAGATGTGTTCAGATTTTCAGGTATCTGAATTAGGAGGCGAGTGATTGAGTTGTTTAGTGTTACTGCTTTGTGGTCAAAATGTACTCACTGTATGATCTTTGTTTTGTCATTTATGGGCTTTTCTTTGTAGCCTAGTTCCCGATCCTTTTATAAATGTTTCTTTAAAGAGGATTTTTGGATCTGCTTCTGGGACTGGTTCCATAGACACTGAACCTCTCTTAACGTCGTTGAAAGTTTCTGGACTGCTCAGACAATGTGTCTTCACTGGGTGATCCTACCTTCTCACTCCACATCCTACTGGGACAGGGCACACAGCCAAGGGGCTTGGCAGTGTGGGGCAGTCGAGGGCCAGCCATCAGAAGAAGGGCCCCTTACCTGCAGAGTTGGTGCTTGGGTCCTCCTTGAGTGTGAATGAGCTTTTTTTTTTTTTTTTAATATTTTCTGTAAAGGAATGGCCTATTTAAGGGAATGCTGTCCCTTCTTTTTATGTTGGTTTTGACTGCTTTTCTCAGCTTAATGGAGGGAAGTCATTTTAGAAGAATGTAGTCTGTAAGAAGGGGATGAAGCGTGGCTTTTGCTGTCTGTGAATCTTTGGGCATGGGTTAGAGGCGAGGTAGGGAAGAGGTTCTTCATGTTGCGTTAGGAATGGGCACACCAGGGCTGGATTGGCTCATTTCTCTCTGCTTTTCTCTCCTCTGCTGTCTTTGCACACACCCTGATTTCTGGAGTGCAGTGTTACTCTGGCCCTTCACTGTTTGAGTGGTGGTGAAGAATCTGGGCTGGGGAGCCAGCCTGCTTGGGTTTGAATCCTGTCTCCCCTGCTTATAGCTTTGTGACTTGGGCAAGTCACTGAACCTCTCTGTCTCACTATTGAAATGGAGGTAGCACCTACTACATGAGGGTTTTAGTAGGGATTAAATGGATATGATCATTATACATGCTTAGAATAGTTCCTAAGAAGTATACCCAGTATGGTCAGTAAATAGAAACACTTACTGTCACTCCCTCAGCTGCTGGATGGCTTGCTTCACATTTGTCTCTGACATCCATTTGCATAAATTAGGAGTGAATTTCAAGTGCAGAACATTAAAATAATGGTCTAAATGGGTCTTTTTATTTGACAAATACATGAATCTCTTGAGTGTTATTTTGGTGACCATACATGCTGTTTTCAGAGAAAAGGCTATCATTTTATAGATGTTTTCATAATTTATGTATGCTGAGTTAAGCAGTTCTTCATGTAAGATGGTCTGGCTTTTTGGCTTTAAGTTACTGTATCAAAAATTTGATAATTAAAATTTCCCTTGAAGCTTTTAACCTTGAACTAATAATACTTTAATATGATTTTTCTTGTTCTTTTGCAGCATCACAAGTCTGATTCAGCTTTTGGGGTGTGGGGTCTGATTCAGAACTCAGAAGATCTCACTGATTCCCCGTGATGGTCCTGTGCATGCATTAGACATGGTTAAAGATACACTGTCATGTTCACAAGCATGGTTTTGTTCATTGTTTCAAATACTAAAGCAAGTAGAGTCCCAAGAGAAAGCTTGGTCTAATTCAGTTTAGTCCTTATAGTCTAAGGCTACATGCCTTAAAATGGATTAAATTGGGGTGTATAGGATAAGATAGATATCACACTGAAAACTAAATTCTGAACTATTTGACAATGAGACACTTTAGACTGCTTAATAATTTCTAAGTTTACAACTTGTTTTTGCCAAGAGTAGCAAATTTGCTGTCAATGCCTTCAAAAATGTTGACTGTTTTTTGTCCCCTAATATCTGGTAGAGAAATTCTGTCCTCTCCCATCCAGGCTCACCTTGACAGTACTTGTGAGAGGTTACTTGTTACTCCGTGGATCATGTGTGTAAGGAGGGGCGGGGGAGTGTGGAGAGGAGACGCTGTGAATACGAGGCAGGCCCTCACACTCCTCTGCTATGGCTGCTGGTGGCTGGCAGGTGGGTGCTGTGTGGTGTTCCAGTGCCTGCCACGGAGCAGGTGGCTGGTGCTGTGAGGTGGCTTCTAGTAAAGCATTTACTAGAAGGCTGGGAACTGAGAGCAATTGCAAGTGACTGGCCAATTGCTGTTAAAGTCCTTCTGGGGTAGTACCCCGGGAACGTGGGAGTGCGGTTAGAGACCTGGGCGTTGTGCCCAGCTCCATAACTCTTTCATTGTGGGCCCTCAATTATTGTCTCTCTCTCTCTCTCTTTTTTTTTTTTTGAAAACCAGGAGAATAATAATGCCACCTGCCTGCTTTGGAAGGGTGTTCTGAGGATTAATGAGTTAAGCACCTTAGATGAAGGCAGAGCCTACTGTGGTCATAATTTCATTGTCTCTCCAGGAAAGCTCCAGTTTGGGGAATAAAGTGGTGGGAAGGAGGGATGAAGAGAGTGGGCTGCGGCAGCTTAGTTTGTGTATTTCAGGTCCAACTGTAGACCGCATTCCTTTCCAGCAGGAGAATTTTAACTAACCTAAACTTTCTGTGTATTCTTTTAGAAATTACTCCAAGCCACATGTCTGACCTGCTGTTTGTGGGCAAAAGAACAGATGTCTATTCTGAGAGCATATTAATAAAGATGTTTGTGGTTTTCTTTCACCGTAAAGGAAGCAAATAGGTCTACAGACAGCATAGATTTAAATGGAGCTTGCTCTCCTTCCCCCACCACTGATAATGCTCTTTTGGAGAGAGTTGGTATTGTTTTATTTTGTTGATTTTTCAAGTTTGACAAAGAAACTTCTTAGAGATCAAACCAAACCAAACAAAAATATCAACATACAGCAATTGCTTCAAATACCAAACATGTCAGCATGAAATTAAAATGAATCAACTGACATTTCTGCTTTGAAATATTTTAGTAAAACTAATTTAAACCAGCCGTGAAAGCTTCTGGCTTCACCTTATAAGGGGAAGTTTGACCTTTTTCAGTGTTTTGGATTTCAAGGTATTGACATTGGGTTGTTTTTGGTTAAAATTTGCTTCTACCTTCTAAGGGCTGTTGGGATTTGGGGAATCTGGGATTGAAGCATTGCAAACGCAGGCTGTGGTGTTGGTACAACGTAGCTATCAAAGACAAGGTCTCTACAAGTCATGGCTATGGTATCCCTCCCACCCATGTGTAACTGTTAACAAGAACGCTGTTGTCATGTGAATTCTTATTTTTTTTTGAGCTTGCTTTTGAAATAACTTTCACAGAGAATTCCTGTTACCGAGAAATTGATGACAGACTTACACCATTTCCTTTTTTTTTCTTAGACGTTCCATCCTCAGAGCAGCCTGAACTGTTCCTAAAGAAACTTCAGCAGTGCTGTGTCATTTTTGACTTCATGGACACGCTATCTGATCTTAAAATGAAAGAATACAAGCGCTCCACTCTTAATGAACTGGTGGACTACATTACAATAAGCAGAGGCTGTTTGACAGAGCAGACTTACCCTGAAGTAGTTAGAATGGTGAGTTTCTTGTTTTCGCCGCGGACACCCTTAAGCTACCTCCATAGCGACTCACAGGTGTATTTATTGCAGAGTGAGGTCACCTCCACAAATGAGAGCCAACCTTCTGAGAGCTAAGCCAAAGTAGTCGGCACAGTACTAGAATTGGAAGAGCATGATTTCATGAGAATGAAATCCAGAACTTTTCCACTACCACAGTATTGAAGGAATCAATGACTTCAAGGAATGAAGCCAAGATTGCGAGAGTATGATTGGATTTCTGGCTTTGGAGAAGGAAAAGACGCAGGAGAATCACCAGGAATTTTAGATGTGTGTTTGAAAAATGTTCAAGCCTGTTGGATGTCTTGATTTTTTTCCCCTCCCTATTCATTTTGGTATTAGAAATGGCTTTACGCTTAATAAAACTGTGACTTGCTGATTCTAGTTAGGACCTCTCTTGGCTCTACAGCTAATCCTTCTCTTTATAATCTCCTGGAAATCATGGGTGATGCCTTTTATGATTTCGGAACAGCGGCTTACACTTTGTGTGGTCATTAGGAATTATGAGAAGAAACATAATTAGCATAATATGAGGAATTATGTTCTTATGTGTCAACAAATTATATTGGTTTTTCAAAAGCGGAGCCAAAATGTGATTTTCTGTTGATGTTTGGGGGAGGGTTGCCTTCCTTGGCACCCTAGAAGATCTTGGGTGTAGAGTGCATGCCATTGGTGGGAGGGCCAGAGTGGGAGGAGCTGGTCGCTGGATCGATGAATTAAGCTGCAGCGAACCCAAGGGGTCACTGCCTCATTGGCAGCCCACTGGGAACGCTGGCACACTCGGCTGGGCATCTATGTAGCTTTTCTATTTCGTTCTTACCATTTGTATTCAGCAAATGCAGAGAAGACACATTTGTGATGGAGTGTGTGTGGTTCAGATGTGGGAAGGGGCTTGCATCATCTCAGCTTGAGAAACTGGCCGTTGTGTGAAGGTCCAGTGTATTCCTCAGTTCCATTGGATTTGTTGTGGATCTACCGGAAACTGCTGCTAGAGTGCTTTGTGTTTTAACCATCACCATTGTGGCTCCAAGCAGTGCTCGTTTGCCTGACTGGGCATTGGGCAGTGTCTCGCGATGTTGCTGGTCGTCATAACCAGGTGTGGAAGGAGGGTGCCTCCACCATCCTGTGGGTAGAGTCCAGGTGTGCTGCTGAATGTCCTAGAAGGCACAGGACGACTGCCACAACAAAGGATTTCTGGCCTCAGATGTCGCTAGTGCTGCTATTGAGGAACACCTGGCTCTTGAGTTTGCATGGTGTCTAAAATTCTGAACCTGTTATTGCGAGGGTTTGCTTTTGTCGCCCTGCGTTCTATAGAGTACAGTCCCTTGGTTTTAGCTTACCTCTGTCCCCACCCAACAGATGCACCTTCTCCTTATAACTTTATATATGGATTACTTATTTATCTGTTTTGAAAGGCAGAGCCACAGAGACAGGGAGAGACAGAGAAAGATCTCTAAATGACTGTCACAGCCAGGGCTGACCAAGGTGAAGCCAGGAGTCAGGAACTCCACCCTGGTCTCCCACATGGGTGGCAGAGCCCCAAGTGTTCAGACCATCTTCTGCCACCTTCACCAGGTATATTAGGTGGAGGCTGGACAGGAAGTAGAGCAGCTGGGATTTGAACCAGCGCTCTCATATGGGATACTGGCATCCTAAGCAGTGGCTTAACCTGCTGCACAGAAATGCTTATTCTGCTTTCCTGTATCTTCTCATGGACGGTTTATGACTATATGAGCATCTTTAGGCATATAGGTATTTTTTTTTGTAAACACACAAATGGTGGCGTGCTATAAACATTTTCTGTACCTTACATTTTTCATTTAACAATATGTATGTTAGTATCTATAAAGCTGTCTCATTCCTTTTTTACAGCTATGTAATGTTTCATTATATGAATGTTGAATATCTCTGTATATATATCAGTTTGCTCTGTGAGGGCATCTGTAGATGGTTTGTTTATTTTTAAATACTTTATTTCTCAGTTTCAGGGTCATGAGGAAACTGAGGGGAAGACTGTAGATTTCTCTGTCTTCCTGTCCCCACACATGCACGGCCCTGATTATTAGTACCCCTCACCAGAGTGGTTCCTTTGTCATGGTCCATGAGTCTACTCAGACACACCACTCTGCCAAAATCCATGGTTTACATGAGGGTTCATGCTTGGTGTTGTACATTCTGTAGTTCTGGACAAATGTACAATGACAGGTATCCACCAGTATCTCACAGAGTATTGTCACTAGAAGTACTTTGTATTATTCCACGTCTTCATTGCCCTGGACCCCACCCCCAGCCTCCCGACGACCGCTGATCTTTGTGCTGTCTACAGAGTTTTGCTATTTCTAGCATGTCATACAGTTGCAGGCTGGCATCTTTTACTTAATAACATAAATTGGAGACTCCTCCACATATTTTCCCAGCTTGAGAGCTCGTCTGCTTTTAGTGTGTTGAATAGTATTCCATCGTCGGGGTGTACCAGTGTATCTGTTTACCTGCTGAAAGCCATCTTGTTTGCTTCCAAGTTTGGGCGGTTAGTACAGCTGCCGTAAACATCCCTATGCAGGTGTTTGCGTGGACACTAGTTTTCCACCTGGTATAGTAACGACTCCCAAACTGTCCTCCCACATGGCCCTGCCATTTGCTTTCCTACCAACAGTGGATGAGAGCTTTTGGAGTTGGTTTGTTTTGTGATGGCCCTTTTCCCTCTGTCTCTGACCTCCATGGATCCCCTGCCACATTCTAATTTCATTTTCCCACCAAGGGCTGGCTTAAAGTGCTGCTCTATTTCCTGGGGAAAGGGGCGGCGGGGGTGGAGGTGGTGCTTGATGGAGGGGAGGCCCAGGGCTCGCTCTCTCCTGTCTTCAGTTCCTCTGCTTCTTGAGGACCACCCTTTTGGAGTTTGTTTTCTGCTTTTTATCCGTTTGCACATCTGTCTGATTATCCCTCTCGTGGGGGAACTGGGGCCGGCACATCCGTCTTGGCTCTGCAAATGTCTGCTGGCACGTGCATGCTTGAGGTTGTTGAGGAAGTGCACGGACTCTCTCGTTTCATTTATTTGAAAGGCTGAGTTAGAGGCAGGGACACACACACACACACAGAAATGAATTCCCTCTTAAAATGTATACATTTCAGGTGTTCAGATTGGGACTAGGACATTGGATTAGGTTCTAGTTTTAATCCTAGCATTTAGCCAAATCCAGAAATTCTTTCTTTATTTTAAAAAACAGATTTGTTTATTATTTAAAAGAGTTACAGAGAAAGAGACAGAGTGAGAGAGGGGAGAAGATATTCTGTCATTTTTTTCTTCATGTGTGTAGAAGCACTTTATTATATATTTGAAAGTTTTGTGTCTTCTTACTGAATTATTATTGTTAAATGTCCTTTATTGCTAATAATACTCTTTGTCTTGAAGCCTACTTTATTTTATGTTACCTTGTCCACATTTATCTTCTTTTTTAAAAAAAGATTTATTTGAAAGTCAGAGTTAGAGAAAGAGAGTCATCTTCCATCTGCTGGGCTACTCCCGAAGTGGCTGAACCAGACTGAAGTCAGGAGTTTCACCTGGGTCTCCCATGGGATTGGCGGGGATCCAAGGACTCGGACCATCTTCCGCTGCTTTTTCCAGGTCATTAGCAGAGAGTTGGATTGGAAGTGGGAGCAGCTGGAATTCACCCGTATCTGAATTGCCAAAAGGGGCTTTCTAAAAAGGCCTTTTGGGGGCTTTCTAAAGGTTGGGGATATGTATAAAGCTCTAAGAATGGTCCCCAACACATGGTAAATCCTCAAATATTGTATTTTGATGATTTTGTTATTAGATGCTTGATTTTCAGTCATTGGTAGAACCTACAGCTCCTGTCTATGGACTTGATATGCTCTATCAGCTAGATATGTTGTGATTCTAAATTCCTTTTTTTTTTAAAGATTTATTTTATTTATTTGAAAGAGAGTTACAGAGAGAGAGGTCTTCCATCTGCTGATTCACTCCCCAGATGGCCTCAACGGCTGGAGCTGCGCTGATCTGAAGCCAGGAGCTTCTTCCAGGTCTCCCACATGGGTGCAGGCCATAGCAGACAGCTGGATCGGAAGTGGAGCAGCTGGGTCTTGAACTGGCACCCATATGGGATGCTGGTGCTTCATACCAGGGCTGATTCTAAATTCTTTAACTCCAGTAAACAAACAAACAAATAAAATCAACTCACTATCCCTGGGGTTGGTGTTGTGGCCTAATGGGTAAAGCTGCCGCCTACAACACCAGCATCCCGTACGGGCGCTTGTTTGTGTCCGGGCTGCTCTACTTCCAATCTAGGCCCTTGCTTATAGCCTGGGAAAAGCAGCAGAGGATGGCCCAAGTGTTTGGGCCTCTGCTGCCTACATGGGAGACCCAGATGCAGCTCCTACGTCCTGGCTTTGGCCTGGCCCTCACTGGCCATTGTAGCTATCTAGAGAGTGGACCAGTGGATGGAAAATATCTCTCTCTCTCTCTCTCTCTCTGTCTCTGTCTCTATCTCTATCTCTCGCTTTCTATAACTCTGACTTTCAAATACATAAAGGAATGTTAAAAAAAAAGTTACTACCCCACCTACTACTCTTACTCTTGTTACTATACAACAGCAGCACTAGGAGTTATTGATGAAATGGTAATACTTTTGAAGAAATATCAATGAAGTAATAGCTGGATTTACAAGTCAGAATGAGTAATGACTTGGGGTATGCTATCCGCATTAGTACCCAGAGTCCTTGATCCACCCTGATGTATTTTGAGAGTTGTTTTTTGTGTTTTGATCCACATTGTGCTTTGAGAGTTGGTGGGGGAAGAAAAAGAGAAGAGAGGAAAGTGATCTACATGTGTGGAAACTCGTGTGTGTGTGTGTATGTGTGTGTGTGTGTGTTTAATCTATTTGAAACTACAGAGAGACGTAGAACCAGAGAGAGAGAGGTCTTCCATTCCGCTGGTTCACTCCCCC